ACACACACACACACACACACACACACACACACACACACAGAATACACCAAGCTTCCATGCGTGTGTAGAGTACACCACGTGCTTGTATAACTCCTTGAAGTCGGTCTACAGCATATGCTTGTATAACTTTCTGACGTCGGTCTCGCCTTGGTAGTCGACCGAAACCGAAGCTCCGGTTGCTGCACGCGCGTTCCCTGGGAGAGGCAGAATAAATCCCGAGCAATCGTGACACATCAACGTTCGTTCTAGCTAATCTAAGGACATGGCGACCGCTGCTTGAAATGGTGGGATCGAGTGAGAAAGTTGGGGCATCTTAGAAAAATGTCTCTGTCTCTCTCTATTTCTGTCTTTCCTTTCCTTTCTCCTTTCCTTCACTTTATCTTTCTCCTCCTCGTTGCTTTTCCAGTCCTTATCTTTCTCTTTCTCTTTCTCCTGATCCACACCCACACACATACACAAATACACACACACAAACACACACACAAACACACACACACACACACACGTTTATATATACATGTTTATATATACATATATGTATATATAAAATACATAAACATATGTCCTGTATGTGTGTACGCGTGAGTCGCATGATAAACAGTATCATCAGTACAGCAACCGTCCATGACAAATTCAAATTTCCCCATCAATCTAAAGCCCTGAAAAAATGATCCCGAAGGTATTAGTCTGGCTCACAGAACGTCCACTAATCCCTTTCACTCAATTTCATTTCGGTGTCAGTAACCACGCATCTTTATCCTCCAAATGCCCCTTCTCCCTGTTACGTATAGATTTCTCAACACACAGTGACTAGACATTCATGCGTGACCTAAAAAGAAGTATATTAGGGGAAAAATCCAAAATGGCCCTTCTCTTCACCATAAGCATCTCACTACAACCACAACTACCCATAACGACTGCGAACCACCTCGCTTGAACGACCGAACGACCTTAATCTCAGCCACAAGACAGTACACGTTTATGAGCTGTATTGGGAGGAGCACTTGTAAGGTTGTCCAGTGCTTGCCTCGACAGGTCTCTCTATTCTTCTCTCTTTTTGGCTTATTCCTTTTCTTCTTCTGTCTTTTAATATGTATTTCTCTCTGTCTCTCTCTGTCTCTCTCTCTCTCTCTCTCTCTCTCTCTCTCTCTCTCTCTCTCTCTCTCTCTCTCTCTCTCTCTCTCTCTCTCTTCCTCTCTTCTCTCTCTCTCTATATATATATATATATATATATATATATATATATATATATATATATTATATATATATATATGTATATATATATATGTGTCATATATGTATAAGATATATATACATATGTATATTTATATATATATATACATATATTATACATACATACATACATAATACAACACACACACACACACACACACACACACACACACACACACACACACACACACACACACACACACACACACACACACACACACACCACACACACATAATATAAATATATATATAATATATATAATATATATATTATATATATATATATATATATATATATCATTCTCTCTCTTCCCTCTCTCCCTCTCCCCCTCTCCCTCCCTCCAAGTCTTTCTGCTTCTCTCTGCTTTTGGTGCTCATGCTTAGATTTTTCTTTCTCTTAATTTTACTCCATCTTTCTCTATCCTTCTCTCTTTCTTCCTCTGTCCCTTTTCTCTTTCCTTCCCTCCTTCTTTATTTATTTTTATTTCTCTCTCTCTCTCTCGTATGAGTGTGTGTGTGTGTGTGTGTGTGTGTGTGTGTGTGTGTTGTGTGTGTGTGTGGTGTGTGTGTGTGTGTGTGTGTGTGTGTGTGTGCGTGCGTATGTGCTGTGTGTGTGCGCGGTGCGTATGTGTATGCGCGCGTGCGTGCGTGCTTCGTGCGTGTGTACAAGGCCATATGTACTTGTACTTATATAGACCTTGCGTGTGTATGTGTGAGTGGCTGGGTGGGTGGGTGCGTGCGTATGTGTATAGTAATCGTTATAAAACTATCAGTTGTATATATCAGTTGCAGTTATATATATATATATATATAGATATATATATATATCAGTTATATATAATATATATATATATATTATATATTATATATATATATATATATATTATATATATATATGCTATATATTATATATATATATACTATATATTATATATATATATATAGTTATTGTTGTTTGTGCTATTGCCACTACTACCAATAACAATTATAATACAGTGTACTACTACTACGAGTGTTACTAACATCATAATTGCCCCCGCAATCGCAATCAGTGTCGATAACGAGAGCAAGACGAGCTGCACCCAGACAACCCCCGTACTTTGTAAATCTACAAAGTCCACGTTATCGCCTTCACGTAATCGCAGCAGGTCACCGCAGACCACACCGTCTCCTTATCCGAGAGGGAACCTTTCTTCGGTGTAGCACTTGGCGCAAGAAATCTCTCTTATCGGACTGACACGGCCTTCAGGACTGATAAACGTAATGA